GCAGTGGTGGGACAAGGATTGACCCAAGGGAGTCCTGATGGTGGCAATGAGGAATGAGTGCCAGACTAGAACAAGCTTCTGGCATGTCCACAGCAGTAAGGTGTGTCAGATTTGGGATTCACTTTGTATTTGCTGGTGAGGGAATCTGGAGCTACCCATGATTTTAGGAGTCAGCTCTAGTTCCAGCAGCCAACACTTGTAGGGCATGAAGAGATTCTCAGCTCCCAGATGATTCCCACTTCTGTCCATCTTGAGCGACAGGGAAGTTAGGTGTAAACACTCTGTGGGAGGGTGGTGTTGACTCAGCCTGATCCTAATCGTCATCCCACCAACAGCACTATTTCACTTTCTGAATTGACTGTGGTGCCTGAACTTTGGTTTATTGCCGTTCAGATGGGCTGCACTTTACTTCTGTAGGATATAAATCTAGAAAGGTTGAGACTGATAAGACAGAGGAAGGAAAAAAGAAGGAAGAAATAAGGAAGGATTGAACTTAAATTCAAATTATGAAAGCTTTTGGGGGTCAGTGCCCCAGCCAGAAACCAAAAATAGGGAAGAATTTGCTGTCCCATTCCAAGGCAGTGCTGAAAGACCTCAGCCCACAAATGTGGAGTGTTCCTGTTCCACCAGCTGTGGAAAGTTCTGCCTTCACCTGGGGCAAGGCTGGGTTGGAGGCCCATGAGCTGTAAGGGTTCATTTGTGCCACACCTGTCCATCACGACAGCCAAGGCTGTTGCAAAATTCCTATCCCATCACCCATTGGTGAATGGAGGTGCTCAGCTCCTCCATTCCAGCTGAAATTGCTGCTAGAAGCTGTGGCAGTGTCCAAGGAGTGGGAAAGGAGAGGTGAATAGGTGGGCTAATGCCTTGACAGGTGAAACCCCAAGTGTGGACTGGACTGGGGAATGTGCCCCTGGCACCGCAGATGAGGATTTCTCTCATGTGAGACGTGTTTGCCTGTTTCAGCAGAGCAAGGAGAACCTTTGTGGGAGATGCTGGTGAGAGGGGTTGATTTGGACCCTCCTCTGAAGGCAGGGATGGATGTAAGGTCATGGAGCATGCCAGGCAGGGTCTAGCTCCATGCCAGACAGGCTGGAGCAGCTCAACCTCTGCCATCAGCTTCTTGCCTTGTGAGGGTCCCCTGACCACACTGTGCCTGCAGGAACAGGCACCCCCAGGCCTCACTTGGTGCTTCCAACCAAATCAGGGCCCCAGCAGCTTGTCTGGGCACTTCAGTCCCTGTCCCAGGGCAGCTGAGCAGGCAGAGCCTGTGATTCCCCACTTCTTCCGGGGGTTGGAAGCTTTTGTTCTGTTCCTTGGCAGATCCTCAGTGGCAGTAAGCACGTTGCAGTAACGCCCTTGGGAGCACTTGGGGAATGGGAACAAGGGCTGGGCTCTCTTGGGGAATTGCAGCTCAGGTGAATGGGAAATATCTCCAAACCGGTCCAGCTCAGCTACACACCCTTCCCTCCATTCTTAACTGCAATTCTTCCAAATTTATCTGGATTGCCAGGAAGTAAAATGACAGGACTTTTTTGGTTACCCCCCTAGCATTGGTGCATTTCAGTTTTGGAGGTGGTACTGTTGCCAGCCCAGGAGAAAGGAAAACTCTTGCTGCCTTGGGAAAAGACAAACCCTCACCTGTGTGCAGAGACAGCCATGTCCATGTGGGAGCAGCTCTCCCTGGATTCTCCCTGAATCCTCAGGATACCTTTCCCTCTTAATACCTAAATATTTTAGGGATGGGTGACAGCATATTTTTCACCGAGATTGACATTTCAAACACAGTGCAAGCAGAGATGCTGCTCACAGCCTCCCCACTCCATGAAAATCCTTCTGCTCTGCTGTGCTCCTGCTACAGTCTTGTGGGCAGGTGGAGATCCAGACCAAACTGTGCTCTCAGGCCTTCTGGGTCTCCTTGGATCTTGTCTCCTGCATCTCTCAGGTGCTGTGCAGTGCTTGGCACCATTTCTGATGGTGCAAGGAGTCTCCTACAATGCGGTCAGATGAGCAGGGAGGGTTTCTGGAGGTACCACCCTTTCCCTCCCTTGGAGTGGGAAACATGAATACCTCCTGGGCAGGCAGGTGGGTATTTTTCTGGGCACTTGCTCTGCATTGGCCAAACAAGTGGTTCAGGAGGATGTGCTGGCAGAGCCAAGTGCTGCTGGATCTGCCGGCATTCCATGGGAGCTGCCATGCCAAGCAGACTCTGAGCTGCTGGTAAAGCTCTATCGGAGTGCAGAAGGTCATCCCTGTCGCTCCAGGAAGTCTGTGGACTTTACTTGGCACTTCTGCTTGGGGGTCACTAGGCTAGGCTCGAATATTTTCCAAGGGTGATTGTTTTATTGCCAATGGCACCAAACTCGCAGGCTAAAGGCTGTGCATTCCTGTCCACCTGGGAGCGAAGGGCAGCATTGCTGACTGCACTTGTGGAATGGAGTCATGAGCCCTGATCAGCCCTGTTCAAGGACAAACCATTGAGTCTTCTTCAAAACCACAAACCTGCCCTGACCCAGCACTTTGAAGACACCATGGCATGGAAGGAAGAAAGCCAAGAGTGTGACAGAAAGTGCTCCAAAGCAGAAACCCCAGATTCAGCTCTCTGGGAATAATACTCCAAGAGTCCCCCCACGCACTCAGGACTTATTTCATATGGATGTTTCTCAAGCCCACACAAGCCAACATATTTGTTCTCCCTTTTTCACTCCTTTCTTTTTTGCCACAAGGACTGAAACCTCCCAAGTCCTACAGTGCATTAGTGTCTCTTCTGAATCTTTCTTTTCCAGAATGATCCCGTGACCCTATAAAAAGCATTTTGTTTTCCAGCACATTCCAAGCCATCTCACCCAGGGACAGATGCCAATAAACCTCTGGCAGGTTTGGCTCTGCAGCCATGCCCCAGCAGGGTCTCATCTCAGGACCTACAGCCTGGTTGAGTGACCAGAGCAGAACAAGCAGGCCAAGGTTCCTCCTGTCCTTCCTTCCCTGTCTCTTCATGCCCTTAGATGAATCCAGGCAGGCAGCCATGACAATTTGCCACAGCCTGACAAAATGGTGGCTGCTGTGACATCACCACAGAAAGCATCTGCTCTGAAATATTCCTCACAAGAATCATCATGGTTGGAAGAGACCTTCAAGATCTTCTAGTCCTACCTACCCTTGACCCATCACACCATGGGAGTTGGACAGATGGAGACCCAGGAACAATGATCTGCAGGGCTATTTCAGGCTCAGGGCTGGGCTTTGGGAGTCTGCCTGATGGTGAGTGGTTTGCAGTCAGCAAAGGTGGGCACTGAGGGCATATTCTGTCTGCTCCTGCAATACTTATCCTGTGGCTCCAAAGACATTTCTTCCTGGTGCAGAGAAGGATCCAGGCTGCCCTTGTCTCTCATGGTGTTTGTGCCCACCCTGACATCAGGGGTGATGGCAGAGGGGCAGAAAGCCAAGGACTCAAAGCTTGTCTTGGCAAACTGCTCCATGGCCCCACGTGGGCAGTGTGTGCACGTCACAGCCATTCTCCAGCGTCACTCACAGCTGCTCCCTTCCCGGGACTTCATCAACAGACAGTTCAACAATGCTGGTGCTAAACTTTTCCTCGGGTGCCCACAAACATCCCCTGCTCCTCTAAGCTCCATGATTATATGACAAACCCACCCTGCCCTGCTGAGTACAGTGGAGTAGATCCTGCTCTAGACCACCTGGAGGGCTGGGATACAGTTGGAAGAGCACCAGTTCCTTCCCAAGGCTTCAGCTGTGGAAACCATGGAACAACGTGGGCCTGACCACGGTAGAACTGAGCTGCAGTGCTGTCCCAAACACCAGTTCAAGCCTTGGTTTTAAACATGGCAAACGAACGACCTTTGCCTCTCACAGACACCTTCCCACAGTGGATCCCAAGTCCCTCTTCCCAGTCTTGTTTTAAAAAGCTTCTTGATCCAGCACTGCTGACTGCCCTTTCTGTCTGTGAAGGACTGATTTTCCTTCTTAATCAACTGAAAAGTCAATCACGGAGCAGAACGGAGCCAGGAATGCGCTGTTGCCTGCGGCATCTGTGGGTGAAACCCTGCTGTATCAACTGGGGGCTGAGCCTCTGGCTGTCACTTCTTTACCTCAGAAAAAGTCCTTTTTTTTTTTGGAGCCCATCCCAGGCAAGTTCTGGCACTCCTGGATGAGCAACTACCGATGGATCTGATCCCTGCTTTTGGAGCAGCCCAGCAACACAAGTGTTAACTCCCTGTTGCCCTAATTACAGCAGGGAAATCACCGGATTTTACTACTGTGCTGTGTCACAGTTATTTCCAGTCTTTGAAAATAATGTCGGTCACATCATGTGTCCCTGAGCCTTGTCGGTCACATCATTTGTCCCTGAGCCTTGTCCTCAGTGGAGTTTGCACCAGCATTTTCCAGGAAAATAAGAGAAAGGGGACGGGAATGCTGTGACTCCTTAACGTAGATGAAATCTCATCAGGAGGCAGAGCTGTCACGCGAGGGAACAGGGCAGCTCCGAGCTTCCCTCCGTGCTGAAATGGGGTGGCGGATCCTGCCAGGGCGAGGGGTGGGGAGAGCTCGCCCACCGGGAGCAGCAGCTCTTTGAGGGGCCTCGCGGGATCCGGCCAGGAATTCTACACGTCCCCAAAAGAGGAAACCCCGAGGTTTGCAAACAAACAGCTGCTCAAAACCACGTCTCCAGACTTCATTAGGAGCAGAAAAAATGGCTCGTTCTGTGCCAAATAGATGTTTTGCTGCCAAGAAAGTGCCACCTACTGGATCTCACCCGGCGGGGAATCATCAGGACGGGAAACAAATTCAGAAAACACAATGCTGGGAAAAGTACGTTTTTTCATCTTTTTTAACTAAAACAACATTAAACTACATAGATACTGTCCCAGTCACAGCCCCTCTCCAGCCACGCTCCCTACACAGCAGAGTCAGACAGACTTTTGAAGTGGACAGAAGTTGGGGAGGGGGATGAAGTTTTAGGATTTGCAAGAGAAACTCACCGGTGCTGAGAAGCCGCTCTCGTCTCTCGCAGTTCACTCAGCTCCCGTGAGTTCTCTCCCAGTTTTCTGTGCTTTCCTAGTTAAATCCTGCTGCCATTCTCCAGCAGTCAAGCTCCCTGTCCTCCCTGCACAGGCTGTGAGCCCGATGCCCCGAACGCTGAAGGAGAGTGGGAGGCAGAGCCCACCCGGCACCCCGGCGTGGGGGTGTCCGTGCCGTGGCTCCCCGCTGCCCTTTCCTCCCGGTGCCGCTCGCCCCGGGTGTCTGAGAGCAGGTGACAGAGGTTCCTTGGCAGAGGAGAGAGGAGGGGAGGGATGTGGAGGCAGCGAGAGGTGGAGCTGGGACCCGGAGCAACAGGTTACTGTATAACCAGGAGCCGGTGGCCCCGGGAGCGCCGGGGGCTGCTGCAGCCTTCGCCCCCTCCCCAGGCAAGGCGACCAAGAGCCCAGGAGCCCAGGACGTGTTAGACTTTGGGTTCCTCGCTCCAGAGAACATTTTGTACCCAATGGGAAGGTTGAAGGTGGCGAGGGGAGGTGAAGGAGTGCTTGGAGCTCAGTTTTCCATCGCCGGTGAGGGAGGGGACGTGCTGCCCGACCGCCTCATAGGGGGAACAAGGCACCTTTTGTGCAGCCCAGGGCTCTCCTCGGCGCTGGCTCGCGGCTTGTTTTCCTCCAGCATCGCCCCTGCCTGCTCTCTGTCCCGACGTCTGCGGCAAAGAAAGGTGTTGGAAGATGGAGAAGGCAAAGCGTCCTTTCTCTCACAATCCCCAAAGCAATCAGGGGTGCGGAGCAGTCTCCCCTTTGGGGTACCCCCTCTGTGGCACTGTGCTCTTTGGATTTATGTGGCCATAAAGCTCCTTGTTCTGCCCCAGCTCTTCCGTGAAAGACAGTAGGTTTAGATGGGTTATTGGGAACAAATTCTTCCCTGTGAGGATGCTGAGGCTCCGGCACAGGGAAGCTGTGGCTGCCCCATCTCTGGAATTGTTCAAGGCCAGGTTAGACAGGGCTCAGAACAGCCTGGGATAGTGGAAGGTGTCCTTGGCAGGGAAAATACCAACTGGCTCAAACCGATGTGTCCACGGCAAGGTGGGACCCTTCTGGTTAGCCATTCCTGTCCCAAAACTGAGACTTTTGAGAGTGTTTTATGGAAGTGCACGTGTCTGCAGGCCTCCCCACCATGCCCACGCTGTGTGTCGAACCCCTGCCTTGTACATGTGAAGCGAGACCCGGTGTCGCTGGCCCTGCGAGGAAACAGCTGTAACTGTGACACTAGGCAAAGAAAAAAGGAAAAGCTTCCCCCTCCGGACAGCGGCCTGGGAGAAGCCCAAACTCCTTAGCTTGACATTTGCCGAGTTCCCCGCTGCTGTGGGTTTCTCTGAGGGGCTCATGCCCAGCGCAGGGTCTGGCCCGGGTCCAGGCGCTGCACGGAGGAGCCGCCCCGGTGAGTTCCTGCGGGAGGAATGCGGCCGGGTGAGCCGGGCGGGCAGGGGGAGAGCAGCTCCCTGCCTGACAGTCGGGATTTCGGCAGCTCGGGTTTGACAGGACCACGACCTCTCCTGCTGCGGGAGAACACGAACCGATACTCGGTGTGGCACTCCCACCCAGTGCCCCGTCATCCTCCTCGCCAGGATCCCAGGAGATACAGTGTGAAAATAGGGCCAGCCCTAGGAGAAGCAGGATATTGTGAAAACACGGCCAGCCCTAGGAAAAGCAGGATTTAGGGAATGCCTGCCGTACCAGGCAGGAGAAGGGATATCAGTCCAACACAAGGGAAATGCAGTAGGAATGTCAGCTGTGCTGGAGCCTGGCGAGCCTCAGCAGCCAGAAGATTTTTTGCAGGGGATCCCTAGACTCTGAAATGCATCACTGGGGTATTTCAGGAGGATTGCTGGTCTGGGCTGATTTTCCCGGGATGCAAACAGGGAGTTGACAGGACGGTGTTTTAAGGCACTGCTTCCTATCCAGCTCCACATTCTAAGTTAAGGCAGGGCTACTGTGAGCTGCTGTGCCCCACAGCAAATCTCTTAACTGCTCTGCAGAGGCAGCAACTTTGCCTCTGGGCAGGGAAGAAAACCACAGGGGAGCTTATTACACCTTCCCTGCTGTCCCACCTGGCAGCTGGCTGTGCTGGTGGGGGTGGGCCAGAGGCAACTGGAGAATCATGGAATGGTTTGGCAGGAGGGAATCACCCTATGGTATGGTGGCGGTTCCTGACGTGGCTCCCAGGTGTGGAACCAACTAAGTGCATGTCCTCAGCCTCCCTCCTTCACTGGAGCACCAGGCCACTCCAGAGGGACATCATATATTCATGGGGCCATAACACCCTATCTCTCAGTATCTCCAATTTGAAAATCCCGGAAGGCTGACTTGCCTTTCGGGATCAGCCTTTTAAATCAGGCTGGCGGCAGACACCCCTGTGATGGCTCGAGAACAAAGACTTGTCGAGTAAACACCACCCAAACCCAGCTCCTCAAAATATGTGTTCCTCTAAATTTTTAATGCTGTTTGCATCCAACTTGCTTGTCCTGTTTCAGAAGGGCTGGGCCTCGTAATTAAAAGCTCCAGCGATTGTATGTCTGGCAAATGTCATCAATGGCTTCACTATGTGTGCCCTGCTTCTCCAGGCAGTGGGAACGGTTTGGAAAGGAGCTCCTGGTTAGGGAAACTCTCTGAAGCTGATTCACTTTGGGTCTTTGTACCAGCTCAGCATTGAGAGATGCCTCCATGGAATCAGGGACACCAACACAAGGACAATTCCCATTGAAAGCCTGGAAATACCTGGGATGAAGGGTCTGTAGCTTCCAGACTTCATCCTTCATCATGGAGCACAGGGCTCTCAGCAGCAGCAGTACCCCATGAAAGAGTTCATGGACAATTTTATCTGGACAATTTTATCTGGAATCCAGGGATCCAAACCAGACCTGTCCTGCCCTTGTGAGAATGCAAGTCCAGGTTGGTACCAACTGACCCCAGCAGGCACCAACAGCCAGACAGGGCTCTGAACAGTTGCAGCCATCAGGCCCTGCTCTGAAACAAGCCCAAAATTCATGTTTGTTATCCTATGTGCAAATTTACCCCATGCCTCTCTATCACCAAGTATTGGCACTCTCTGCTGATCCTTGTTTTTCACCTGGGTGATAGGGAGGGAGCAAAGGGTTCACCATGTTTTATAATTTGTATTTAGTATTTATTTTGTTTGTGGTGATCACCCCAAGAAGGTGAAGCACAGGGGCTGTGACTCAACATTAACCTGTGTGACCCTGTTTGCTGTATCACCTGCATTCAGGTAAAAATTCCACTTTGCAATATTCCCTTTAGAACCCGTCAGTTGTTCTGTGGGCAGACCTTTGTGTAAGGTAGGTGCAAACACCAGGAAAAGTTTGTGCTTTTTTTTTGTGCACATCCAGGAAGTTTTGCTTGTGTGCTTTGATCGTTTATGGGCAGGGACAGCTCGGTATGTTGGTCACTCCTTGGAACAAGCATGTGATGGCACATTCCATCATGCCAAGCAAATCTGGAAGGACAAATAGGTGGGGGCTCCATTCAGGCAGATTAAGCACAGAAACATTTGGTCGTTCAGTTTCCGGGGTGCTTCTTAGCCCCAGTTCTGTTGCTGTGTTGTTTCTGTGTGACCAGCAAAGGGCAGCTGTGCCCTGGCTTAGCAGGACCTGTCCAAGGGGATTTGTGCCAGTGGGTACTCTGGTTGTGACTGCCAGGTAGTGTAATGTGGACAAAACTTGCTGTTACCTGGCCTAGGAGTAGAAAGGTTAGGGTTGGAAGGGACTTAAAGCTCATCTCCTTCCATCCCCCTGCCAAAGGCAGGGATACCTTCCACTAGACCACGTTGCTGCAAGCCTCATTCAACCTGGCCTTGGACACTTCCAGGGATCCAGGGGCAGCCACAGCTTCTGTGAGCAACCTGTGCCAGGGCCTCAGCACCCTCTGAGTCACAAATTTCTTGTATCTCATCCAAACCAACCCTCCTTTCGTTTGACAGCACTTCCCCTCATCCTGTCACTAAATGCCCTTGGGAAAGGTCCCTCTCCAGCCTTCTTGTAAGCCTGCTTTAGGTATTGGAATCCTTAAGGTTGGAAAAGCCCTCTTTGATGATCAAATCCAACCACTAAATGACTGAGGAATGAAACTGGGCCCTTCCACAGAACTTGTGTGTCTTTTGCCCCTTTCTACCCCCACCAGAAAGCAAAGAGCAGCATGGCTGAGGTACCACAGGCCTGCACCAAATTTTCAGGCCCTTGTGAATGCAAATTAGCTCAGACCTTCTCAGGGCAGAAGGGGCTACACACAGAAGCAGGATCAGGATCAGAAGAGGCTTTCACACACATCCAGGCTTGCCCAAGTCTTCCTCTGGGTGACTTAGCTGGAGATCTGAACAAGATGCTCTACATTTCAAACACTCCTTAGATCCAAAACATCATTTATTTGAATGAATAAATAAATATAAAAATAGGAAATTCTGAATAGAAAATAGGCTTCTTCAAAACACCAGGAACTCCCAAAGCTTTCCATTACAACATATTTTTGAGACAGTAAAAAACTCTGCACTTGCACCAGTTAGAAAAGGCTTGAATGTACTAATTTTTGAAAAATAGCAGAAATAAGCACATTTAACACCAAACAGAAATAAAGCTGCTAATATTCTGTTGGACTTTTAAACAGGACAGAAGGGAGAATGAATGGTGAATGGTTTTGTTCATTTTAGAACCATCCTGTTTAACCAAACATCCCCTCAAATAATGTGTAAGAACTGGCTGCCAAACCTTGTGGCTTGGCTCTCCAGGTATGCACAAAACCCAGTTCTACTCTCCCCCACTGGGATACATCAGGTTCTGCCCTACTAAAGTCAGGGAAATTACCACTGAGGTCTGGAAACACAAATGAGAGCAGCAGAGCAGCCATGCCCTCAAACACGGACATGTGCGTGGCAAAGCACAAGTGAGCCCTGGCCTGATTCATTTCTGTGTCATTTGGGCTGCATGTTGCTGCTGTGCCATGAAAACTCCCACCATGCCAGCAGCACTGGCTCCTATCCTGTGCTGGGAATGGATATTTAGTACTGATCCCTGGTGAATGCCAGAGTGTTAAGTGTTTTGCAATTCATCCCTTGCCTTTGCCATAAATAAGCCAATGGTGGACAGCATCACACAGCTCCCGGGCAGGATATCTAGGTCCCCAAAACTTCTAATTTAAACAGAGAGAAGCTTTACAGGGTATTTACATACATAGGAATTCCATAGTGGAAATAAAGCCCCACTCTTTCAGAGAA